TATGTCTAATTTTGAATTTCTGGCCCAAATGTGCCACACACTAAAAACAAAATCCCTCTACCTCATCAAGTTTTTATATGAAAATTGATGGCATTACGCAAAGCAGATCCATCTATTTCTCTAGTATGCCCAATGAAACAAAAAGAAGGCAGAGAACAAATGATAAAAGAAGAAGGGACAGACTCAGGGTTGTGCTACAAATGTAGGCCAAAGAAGCTGCAAATGCATGAAGAGTAAGGCCAGCAAAGAATCTTCCACGTGTACCCTCATTCATAAACTTGGTTTTTTTATTCTTTAAGTGTAGTAGCCTATACTTCCTAAGAAATATGCTTTAAAATACCCATAAAAATTAGGAAAAATGATAAAATTCAGTTATTCAACTGAGGTACTTGGATTTATAGAGGATGAAAAAATGATATTTGACAAAGTATATACATGTTAATATAATTTGTTATAAATTTCAGCCCAGTCTTAAATGTTTTTAACTCTATGATTAAGGGTTAATCACAGACATTGTTACCGTAACTAGAATGCCACTTGATAGTCCTGCATTAATTCTGCTATACCAAAGACTCATACCAAAAAAACAAAACAAAAAACAACCATTTACACTTAACTAAGAAAAGCAAACATTTACTTCAAATTGTAGTATAGGCTTTTCAATCACAAAAAGAAAGAAAAGAACAGTGATCTGACAGTGGTCACATCCTGTGCAAAAAATGTGAGATACAAAAATGGTAGCACAAAGTATCTGAGCTGCTTACATTACAGGAAAAAGGAAATACAGTAGCTGAAATATGGCACTCCTGGGAATCAACTTTTAAACCAAATAGAATGCCTTTGAAATGATTAAATTTATTTGTGTATTAGTAAGAAAGCCCCACCACCATAAATAGTACAATATTTAAAGATAAAAAAAAAATATTTATATCTATCTAAGATAGACAGTGTATTTGTGTATTTGTACTGTTAGACCTCTTTAAGTGCAGAAGGTGGTTCAGGTTTTGTACTTTTTTTTTTTTTAACTAACTGCCCATATGCTTTATAAAGTTCCACTCAATCACAAAAGCCAATTTAAATCAAGGATTATGTTATTAAAGTTGCATAATTTCATTTGCGAGTGCCAGCAGGTTAAAGTCTCAAATCAAGTCTTTAACATTAATGTTCATTTTTAGTCAATGAAAAGTTAAAAAGTTCCCAAATCTTCATTATCCTCTTGAACTTGCCCTTCTAAATGATCCTCAGACTGCAATTCCTAGTTTGCAAATAAAAGAATGCAATATGCATCATACTTCAAGAAAAGACGACGATGTTGAACTAACATGCTTCTGGATGATCTTCTCCCTGCTCCTTTCAACCTTCTTTATAATTTCTGACACTATGCACACTGATGAGGTGAGACCCAAAAGAAACAACAGATCTGCAAGAGAAAATAAGCTGGGTTTTACATTTCTTTGAAATTTATAGTTGCAAAGCTTAATACCTTAAACATTTTTCTAGCATTTTACCCCAGCTTTAAAATGCATTGTTTCACAACCATTCCATGAGGTAGACACAATCACCCTCAGTTAAAAATAAAAGAAAGAATAACAGACTTAAACCTAAGGCATGAAACCTTAAGAATTCTAAATGAAGATGTTGGGAAGACCCTTTCAGACATCGGCCTAGGCAAGGAATTCTTGAAGAAGAACCCCAAAGCAATCGCTGCAGCAACAAAAATAAATAAGTGG